GCCACTGGCGGTCCTACGTACTCCAGTCACCGGCGGTCCCGCTAATAGTTACTAGGAAGGTCGCTGGACGGTGCTCCGGTTGCGCTTCATCGTTGGGCAGCTGGGAAATCATTCAGGCAAAGCAGCCATACTCAACAGGTCGCAATACATCTCGTCAGCTGCTGAATTCTCACAAGCTTGTGCTATGCAATCGAAATGATTTATATTTTCATAAAAATATACACGGTCGTGATGCAGTAATCCCAAAAATACAGCGGCAGGGCGGGCCACACGATAATCAGAGTCCAGAGAGCATGTGTATTGATTCGTCAGCCGTCCGATCGGCTGTAGGTACCGGGAGATGTCGCTGAACCGCTCCTTCTAATCTAGTTAGCTTGCTTTCAGCACTCGGTGATATCACTGCGGCCGGAGGGCCGGTCGGTGGCGGTGGCGGGGGCGGCCGAACCTGGAGGCCGCCCCCGCCCCCGCCCCGGACCGGTCCCGGCGGCCTCGGAGCCCGGCCCGGCGGCTCGGCCCGCGCGCTCCGCTGATGGCCGATCGAAGGCCGACTGCGACTCGTTCCCCGGCGCTCAGCCGCCCGGAAGGCCGGCGCTGTCCGGCGGCAGACTGCGCAGCCCCGTCCGCCGAACCGTCCGCGCCGCACCGGATTCCGGAACATTTTCGCACGTGTTTGGGCCTGCCGCGGCCGATTTGGAGGCATTTTCCAGCTGGCGGCGTTTGTTCGTGGTGCAGTGAAGCGCTGCCGTGTTCGGCAGTCACGCTACCGGCGCGGCGCGGCGCAGTGGGCCGCTGACGGGCGGCGCGGCGCACTGGATCGCGGCCGGGCCGAGCCACTCTCCACCCCGTCCCGTCCCCGTGCTCCGCCCCTCGCGCTCTGCCCTGCCTTCCGCTGCCGGCCGGCAGCGTGCCCCCTTCCGCCGACCGCGGCGGCTCATTGTTATGGAGCTAACGGCTCCCACACACACACACACACAGCCAAGGAGCCGAGATAGCTGCGCAGGCGGCTGATGAAAGGATAAGGGCGGGGTGGGCGCCGCACCGATCAATAGCTCCCTCTGCTGGACCGCGTGGTCTGATTGCTCCCCGCGCAGGGAGATAGCCGACAGTTCCCTCTGTTGGACCGCATGGTCTGATTGCTCCCCGCCCAGGGAGTTTGACGGGCGTATGCGGCGGGTCAGAGGGCAGGAGTTGTCTGCGTGTCGTCACTGAATAACGCGGCGGTCTGACGACGTCGACCAGTGGTCTGATGACGTCGGTCAGTGGTCCAATGAAGTCGGTCGGCGGTCCGGAGGGTCGAGGAGCGCTGGTGCGGACGCCGCCCACAGCCGCTGCCCTGTGCCGTGCCGTCGGCCAGCTATCAGAGCTGCCCGCCGCCGCTGACCGGCCGGCCGGCGCCGCTCCGTCCCGACGGGCCGACCGCGAGACGGACGCCGGCCATCCCCCGAATCCGCGCGGAAGACCCGGCTCGGTGCGCTTCCGGCCGCAAACGCCCAGCGGCCACAACGAGCCATGATATTTGCCACGGCAGAGCTCCCTTCATCGGACACAGCAGAGCTCCACAGACACACAGACACGCGCGAGACACTGGCGGTATTTGGCACTCTCTCCCGATATAACACTGTTCGGCGCGCCGCCCTGGCACCCTCTCACTATAAACCGTTCGGCGTGCCGCGCTGGCACGTCAGTCTCGTCTGGTGACGTCCCACGCGCCGGGTGCGTCTCCCAGGTGACGTCAGGCCGCCGTGGAGATCCGTCTCCGTCTCTCAGATCTTGCTCCGGGGCTGCCCTCGGCCGCCGGTCGTCTCCGGGCCGGCTGACCGGTCCCCGGGGAGGGCGCCGTCCTCGGCACCGGCCGCGGTCACCACGCCGTGCCCTGTGGCGGCCACTTGGCAGCGGCCGGCGGCTGTGTCTGCCCGGCGGCTGAGTCGGCCCCGCCGGCCGCAGGGGCGGCTGCAGGCGCGCCGTGTCGGCTCTGGCGGCTCTAGAGCCGGCTGGTGTGCATGTGCTGCGTCTTGACGATGACTGTGGCGTGCCGGAGCCGGCGCTGGTTGCGGTCGACGGCGCCGTACCAGCCCCAGAGCACCGACATGATGACCAGGCCCACCACGCTGGCCACCAGCAGCGCGATGTACGAGTTGCGCCGGCGCGTCTGGCGCTCCTCCTCAGTGCGGAACGCGTCCTGGATGGCGTCCACCAGCGTCTGGTCGTCGAGGCCGAGCTTCTCGGCGGCCGAGGCGTCCACCAGCAGCCAGATGGAGAGGCCCAGCAGCACCAGCAGCGCCAGCGTGGCCAGCGTGAACACCAGCGCGCGCCAGATGAGCCACAGCAGCTGGCCGCACCGGCGCCGCGAGGCCGCGCCGAAAATGAGCGCCAGGTCTGTGAGCAGGCCGGCGCCGGCCAGGCCGAGCACCACCCAGTTGGCGATGTGCTGCGCCTGCGAGTCGAGCCGCGCCAGCTGCGTCTGCAGCACCTCGGGCCACGTCTGCAGCTCCAGCTTGTCGTAGTCGACGGCCAGACTGAGGCCGGCCCACACTACGCCGGCCAGGTCCACCAGCAGCAGCAGCATCCCGATCAGGATGCTGCCCGTGCGCAGGCCGAAACAGCAGCAGCAGCGCGCCATCTCCGCGCCGCTGTGGTCCGGTCTCTGGTCCGGTCTACTGGCTCCGGTCTGTGGTCCGGTCTGGGTCCAGTCGCCGACTGCCGCGGAGGCGCCGCTGGCTGCTGGGTGCGGCCCGGTCGGCTCCGAGCTTCTCTCGTCTCTCGCCGCTGCCGCTGGAACGTAAACAGCGCCCGTCAGCTGCCGGCCCTCCGCTGTTCGGGGATTGTGGACAGACGGGATACGGGTGGGGTGGACAGCGGCCGGGAGGATCCACACTCCACAAGCACACGGCCGGGGCGGCGGGTAATGCGCGTCCGCGCGGCGCCCCTACCTCCCGGTCACGTTTGTTCCTACTTTCTCGGGCGTGTCTCTGCACGGGTCTGTGTCACAGGGCGTGTCGCTGGGGACGGGGACGGGCGGTCAGAGGTCAGGGGTCGCCCGCAGCTCAGACCCGCCCTCCCCGCCCCGCCGGACCGGCTGGCCGCCGCTGGAAGGCGGGCGGGGTTGTGCAACAGAGTGCGCCGCGCCGACGACGATGGCCGGGGCAGATACCGTCAGCCCGGCCCGCCCTTCCCCGGGTGACGGGCACGCGACAAACACACCAATGGGTCGGACGGTGGGCGGCGCGGGGCGTGGGGAGGTCACCGTTAGGTTACTCTGCAAACCCATCCGGGGCCGGCCAGCGAACACGTCCTGTCGCCGGCCGGCGCTGCCCGGAGCGGCGCTCAGTATCGGTCACTCACCAGTCGTGTGCCAGCGCGCGTCCCCCTCGCCCACGGATCGCCTGCTCTGCACTGGCGGGCGGCGGCGGCGGCCGGCGCGATCATTGGTCGGCGGCCGACACCTGGCGGCCGGCCTGGCAACTACGGCCGGCCGGCCGGCAGGGAACCGGACCGGGCGTACATACACGGCTGGGATTTGTGGCCGCCGATCGGAATGACGGCGGCCTCTCGGACGCCGGGGCCTCGGTTCATCGCCGGCCGGTTACCGTCGGAGGCTGCCCGGCTGGTCGGGTCCCGCTGGCGCCGCCCAGTTGTGATCGCTGATCGGCGCCAACAGGATGGACGCAGCTAGTTAGCTGATTCAGCCCATTGGCTTCATTTGGTCCAATTGAACTCCAGGCGACCTTGTGTGATGAGGTGCATTGCCAGCGGGCCTGCACCGAATGAAAAGTGCCCCGCGCGGTAATGATATGTAATACACGAAGGAAGTCCGCCTCCCGGCGCAGTGCGCGGAACGTCTGGCCTGCATTGGGGGTGGGATGCTGGCCATCGGATGCTGTGCCGGCCGGCCGGTCCGCTGAGGTCCCCGGTGGGACCCCGCTGTCCCGGTCAGCCTGAGTGCGGAAAACAGGATACTGGTACATACCGCGCTCAGAGAAAACACAGACAGGACGACACATGTTTTGTAGGGTAAGGTGGGGCAATTACTAGAATGAATAACACAAAACTACGGAAAATCCGTACGTGACTCGACAATAAGACCAATGAGGGAAATAATCGTAACTAAAAGGGATATCACATCGGGGTTTAAAGTTTCAGAGGATGAAGATGAGGACCCACACTGTAAAAAATCAATTTCGCAGGTAAAAACGCCTATGAACGGATCTAGAGGGGTGGATCGACTTACCAGTTAACACCATGCTCATTGCTCACCTTGCCCCACTTTACCCTAGTAAGCCATCGTCCAATGTTGTCCAGTCTGCTACCTTTGTCCAACCAATTCCGAATTGGACATTGGACAAAATCGGAACTCCGAATGTCCAGGTCCCGATTGGCACCACCTTGGGCACCACTATAACAGATGAAGTTATTGGTTGGGAGAGTTTTTATCGAACGGAAATGATAGACGTTCTTTTCTGTTAATTGAAGAGAGGCGACTTCTGTCAACTGACCGGTGTGCAGCGTGCAGATATTGATACTCTGCTGCAACTGTTATTTTTGTTGTGATGTTTTTTTTTCAAATGAAGGTATGGCTAGAATAGAATTGTTCTGCCTATTTGCTTATAGGTCAAACAACATTTGGTGCTGGCGAGATTATCGTTTTTATGGCACGTTAAGGCAGTATGTTCAAATTAACCCATGGTGGGGCAATTTGAATTCTCTCTCTCTCTCTCTCTCTCTCTCTCTCTCTCTCTCTCTCTCTCTCTCTCTCTCTCTCTCTCTCTCTCTCTCTCTCTCTCCTCTCTCTCTCTCTCTCTCTCTCTCTCTCTCTCTCTCTCCTCTCTCTCTCTCTCTCTCTCTCTCTCTCTCTCTCTCTCTCTCTCTCTCTCTCTCTCTCTCTCTCTCTCTCTCTCTCTCTCTCTCTCTCTCTCTCTCTCTCTCTCTCTCTCTCTCTCTCTCTCTCTCTCTCTCTCTCTCTCTCTCTCTCTGACCGGCGCGCCCTCCCTCTCTGGCCGCAGGGTGCTGATGAAGTCGGCCAAGCTGGAGTGGGCGCTGGACCAGCTGCCGGCCGCGCTGCGACTTCTCGAGGACGGCGTCAAGGCCTTCCCCGACTTCGCCAAACTGTGGATGATGCGCGGCCAGATCCTGGAGAGCCTTGGCAGGGACTCGGAGGCCAAGGAGGTGTACGGCCAGGGGGTGAGTGAGAGCAGGAGTGTACGGCCAGGGAGTGAGTGAGAGCAGGAGTGTACGGCCAGGGAGTGAGTGAGTGAGAGCAGGAGTATACGGGCAGGGGGCGAGTGAGAGAGGAGGTGTACGGTGAGTGAGAGAGGAGGTGTACGGCCAGGGGTGTGAGAGAGGAGGTGTACGGCCAGGGTGTGAGTGAGCAGGAGTCTACGGCCAGGGGGCGAGTGAGAGAGGAGGTGTACGGTGAGTGAGAGAGGAGGTGTACGGCCAGGGGGTGAGTGCGAGAGGAGGTGTACGGCCAGGGGTGAGTGAGAGAGGAGGTGTACGGTGAGTGAGAGAGGAGGTGTACGGCCAGGGGGTGAGTGCGAGAGGAGGTGTACGGCCAGGGGTGAGTGAGAGAGGAGGTGTACGGTGAGTGAGAGAGGTGTACGGCCAGGGGTGAGTGAGAGAGGAGGTGTACGGTGAGTGAGAGAGGAGGTGTACGGCCAGGGGGTGAGTGAGAGAGGAGGTGTACGGTGAGTGAGAGAGGAGGTGTACGGCCAGGGGTGAGTGAGAGAGGAGGTGTACGGTGAGTGAGAGCAGGAGTATACGGGCAGGGGGCGAGTGAGAGAGGAGGTGTACGGTGAGTGAGAGAGGAGGTGTACGGCCAGGGGTGTGAGAGAGGAGGTGTACGGCCAGGGTGTGAGTGAGAGCAGGAGTCTACGGCCAGGGGGCGAGTGAGAGAGGAGGTGTACGGTGAGTGAGAGGAGGTGTACGGCCAGGGGTGAGTGAGAGAGGAGGTGTACGGTGAGTGAGAGAGGAGGTGTACGGCCAGGGGGTGAGTGCGAGAGGAGGTGTACGGCCAGGGGGTGAGTGAGAGAGGAGGTGTACGGTGAGTGAGAGACGAGGTGTACGGCCAGGGGGTGAGTGCGAGAGGAGGTGTACGGCCAGGGGGTGAGTGAGAGAGGAGGTGTACGGCCAGGGGGTGAGTGAGAGAGGAGGTGTACGGTGAGTGAGAGAGGAGGTGTACGGCCAGGGGGTGAGTGAGAGAGGAGGTGTACGGCCAGGGGGTGAGTGAGAGAGGAGGTGTACGGTGAGTGAGAGCAGGAGTATACGGGCAGGGGGCGAGTGAGAGAGGAGGTGTACGGTGAGTGAGAGAGGAGGTGTACGGCCAGGGGTGTGAGAGAGGAGGTGTACGGCCAGGGTGTGAGTGAGAGCAGGAGTCTACGGCCAGGGGGCGAGTGAGAGAGGAGGTGTACGGTGAGTGAGAGGAGGTGTACGGCCAGGGGTGAGTGAGAGAGGAGGTGTACGGTGAGTGAGAGAGGAGGTGTACGGTGAGTGAGAGAGGAGGTGTACGGTGAGTGAGAGAGGAGGTGTACGGCCAGGGGGTGAGTGCGAGAGGAGGTGTACGGCCAGGGGGTGAGTGAGAGAGGAGGTGTACGGTGAGTGAGAGACGAGGTGTACGGCCAGGGGGTGAGTGCGAGAGGAGGTGTACGGCCAGGGGGTGAGTGAGAGAGGAGGTGTACGGCCAGGGGGTGAGTGAGAGAGGAGGTGTACGGTGAGTGAGAGAGGAGGTGTACGGCCAGGGGGTGAGTGCGAGAGGAGGTGTACGGCCAGGGGGTGAGTGAGAGAGGAGGTGTACGGTGAGTGAGAGACGAGGTGTACGGCCAGGGGGTGAGTGCGAGAGGAGGTGTACGGCCAGGGGGTGAGTGAGAGAGGAGGTGTACGGCCAGGGGGTGAGTGAGAGAGGAGGTGTACGGTGAGTGAGAGAGGAGGTGTACGGCCAGGGGGTGAGTGAGAGAGGAGGTGTACGGCCAGGGGGTGTGTAAGAGAGGAGGTGTACGGTGAGTGAGAGAGGAGGTGTACGGTGAGTGAGAGAGGAGGTGTACGGCCAGGGGGTGAGTGAGAGAGGAGGTGTACGGCCAGGGGTGAGTGAGAGAGGAGGTGTACGGTGAGTGAGAGAGGAGGTGTACGGCCAGGGGGTGAGTGAGAGAGGAGGTGTACGGTGAGTGAGAGAGGAGGTGTACGGTGAGTGAGAGAGGAGGTGTACGGCCAGGGGGTGAGTGCGAGAGGAGGTGTACGGCCAGGGGTGAGTGAGAGAGGAGGTGTACGGTGAGTGAGAGAGGAGGTGTACGGCCAGGGGTGAGTGAGAGAGGAGGTGTACGGTGAGTGAGAGAGGAGGTGTACGGCCAGGGGGTGAGTGCGAGAGGAGGTGTACGGCCAGGGGGTGAGTGAGAGAGGAGGTGTACGGTGAGTGAGAGACGAGGTGTACGGCCAGGGGGTGAGTGCGAGAGGAGGTGTACGGCCAGGGGGTGAGTGAGAGAGGAGGTGTACGGCCAGGGGGTGTGTAAGAGAGGAGGTGTACGGTGAGTGAGAGAGGAGGTGTACGGTGAGTGAGAGAGGAGGTGTACGGCCAGGGGGTGAGTGCGAGAGGAGGTGTACGGCCAGGGGTGAGTGAGAGAGGAGGTGTACGGTGAGTGAGAGAGGAGGTGTACGGCCAGGGGTGAGTGAGAGAGGAGGTGTACGGCCAGGGGGTGAGTGAGAGAGGAGGTGTACGGTGAGTGAGAGAGGAGGTGTACGGCCAGGGGGTGAGTGCGAGAGGAGGTGTACGGCCAGGGGGTGAGTGAGAAAGGAGGTGTACGGTGAGTGAGAGACGAGGTGTACGGCCAGGGGGTGAGTGCGAGAGGAGGTGTACGGCCAGGGGGTGAGTGAGAGAGGAGGTGTACGGCCAGGGGGTGAGTGAGAGAGGAGGTGTACGGTGAGTGAGAGAGGAGGTGTACGGCCAGGGGGTGAGTGAGAGAGGAGGTGTACGGCCAGGGGGTGTGTAAGAGAGGAGGTGTACGGTGAGTGAGAGAGGAGGTGTACGGTGAGTGAGAGAGGAGGTGTACGGCCAGGGGGTGAGTGAGAGAGGAGGTGTACGGCCAGGGGTGAGTGAGAGAGGAGGTGTACGGTGAGTGAGAGAGGAGGTGTACGGCCAGGGGGTGAGTGCGAGAGGAGGTGTACGGCCAGGGGTGAGTGAGAGAGGAGGTGTACGGCCAGGGGGTGAGTGAGTGCCAGACCTGTTGCAAGCATTTTGGTAGCGGGATCGGTTGAACCATATTTGCAGCGCGTAATTGTAAAGCTTTACCTGCTGAGTGCTGTGCTTTTCCTGCTCACAGGAATCAGGGGAAACAGGACTTTTTCTGTTATCATGATTCAAAGGGCGAGTGTGTTCTGCTGCTCATCATAGTTTAAAAATTTAATAGATAACATTTTGCACTTAGCAAGTTTCCAGTGAAAGACTAATGAAAATGAATGTGGCTTCCGGTTATATTAATTAATGATACATAGGTATATTTACAATCACAGCAGACACCTTCAACAGAGACCTGTTGTCCCTCCTGGCCAGTTGTCCCGCCTGCCCCACCCGGGAGGCACACCGTGGCCAGGTGTCCCGCCCGCGATCCTCGGGGGTCCGGGGGATAGCGGCACACCGTGACCCACTGTCCGCCTGCCCTGCTCGGGGGTCGGGGGATAGCGGCACACCGTGACCCGCTGTCCGCCTACCCTGCTCGGGGGTCCGGGGGTAGCGGCGCACCGTGACCCGCTGTCCGCCTACCCTGCTCGGGGGTCGGGTCGGGGGATAGCGGCGCACCGTGACCCGCTGTGCGCCTACCCTGCTCGAGGGTCGGGGGATAGCGGCACGCCGTGACCCGCTGTCCGCCTGCCCTGCTCGGGGGTCGGGGGATAGCGGCACGCCGTGACCCGCTGTCCGCCTACCCTGCTCGGGGGTCCGGGGGTAGCGGCGCACCGTGACCCGCTCTCCGAGACCGGGCTACCCGGCGCAGAGGCGGCCGTGTCTGTCTGTCTCTGTGTGTTCTGTTTGTTTGTTGGACTCGCTCGAGGCCTGATGTTTGTTTCCAGAGTCCGTTTGTTTACCGGGCCACTGCTGGGGATTGCGCCACTGGCGGCGACCCGTGCCCACCCGCCGTGTCCCCCGGCTATACCGTGTCCGAGTCCTGTATCCCTTACTGTGTCCTATGTCCCCTCGGCTATACCGTGTCCGAGTCCTGTATCCCTTACTGTGTCCTGTGTCCCCCGGCTATACCGTGTTCCAGTCCTGTATCCCTTACTGTGTCCTGTGTCCGCCGGCTATACCGTGTCCGAGTCCTGTGTCCCCCGGCTATACCGTGTCCTGTGTCCTGTATCCCTTACTGTGTCCTGTGTCCGCCAGCTGTACAGTGTCCTGTGTCCTGTGTCCGTCAGGTGAAGCAGTGCCCGCTGGCGGTGCCGCTCTGGCGGCTGCTGGCCCGCCTGGAGGAGCGCACCGGTCTCCAGATCCGCGCCCGCTCCGTGCTGGAGAAGGCGCGCCTGCGCAACCCGCAGACGCCCGAGCTGTGGCTGGAGGCCATACGCGTGGAGAGCCGCGCCGGCCTCGGAGACATTGCCGCCGGCCTGATGGCGCGCGCGCTGCAGGAGTGCCCCAGCTCTGGCATCCTCTGGGCGGAGGCCATCTTCCTGGCCGACCGCACCCGGCGCAAGACCACCTCGGTGGACGCGCTGAAAAAGTGCGAGCACGACGCGCACGTGCTGCTGGCCGTCTCCAAGTGAGTGGGACGGCAGACGGGCCGGGGGGGGGCGACCGGACCGGGCCGGGGGTGGGGGCGTGCTTGTCATTGTTATGTAATATGTACGCCAACTAAAAAGGAAAACAAGGCTCCCTCAAAATGAACTGGATCCAAAAACTTCTATTTCGGGGCATTTTTTATATCAATTTTCAGCCTCTAATCCATGATTGCTGATGTTATCCCATACAGTGACCAAAGTAACTCACTGAGAGCTAGCGTGGGACCTCAAGGGAATTCCTGTTCTACCGGAAGTCCTTACGCGTGGGGTGGGCTGTTAGAGCTACTAAGGACCCCCTGAGCAACAGAGGGGCCCCTAAGGATGTTGACGGAGACACCTGAAGTAGTTACCACTTACCAGTGGGCCTTCTGAGAGGCGTGCCCCTAACCACCAGGCGTGTGACAGGTGACGCTAAGCATAAAGGGACCGTCAAAGATAAAGCGGGCGAAATCCAGGTCAACAAATGTAGAATATGTAGCTATATGTAGGTTGGGGGCTGGAGTTGGAACAATTCCCTCCTGGAGGGGAGGGAATTGTTCCCTCCCCTCCATATTTGGGTCATAAAGGTGATTTTTGATTTGATCCACCTGTGATTTTTGACGGAGACACCAGATTGTCTGGCCCCGCCCCTGGGATAGGGTCGGCACTCGGCAGTGGCACGGCACTCGGTCGGCACTCGGCAGTGGCACGGCACTCGGTCGGCACTCGGCAGTTTTCAATGCGCTTACACAAATGCACCGCGTTTGACGCAATGCGCCACGTTTGTCACAAGGCGCCACATTTGCCGCAAATCGCACAACTTTGTCAAATATGGTCCGCTAAAGGTGTAATTCGGTAGAAGGATAAATGACAAAACGACGATTACAAATGCACCACTTTTGTCGCAATGCGCCACATTTGTCACAAGGCGCCATTTCCATCAAATACGATTAAGAATAACGGAATGACACGAGTAGGAGCAGGGTTTTCACCCCCTTGGTGAAAGCAGGGTGAAAGCAGGGTTTTCACCCCCCAGGGTTTTCACCCCCTTCCACCTGTGATTTTTTCACCCCCTTTGTGATTTTTGATTATTTCACCCCCTTGGTGAAAGCAGGGTGAAAGCAGGGTTTTCACCCCCCAGGGTTTTCACCCCCTTCCACCTGTGATTTTTGACGGAGACACCAGATTGTCTGGCCCCGCCCCTGGGATAGGGTCGGCACTCGGCAGTGGCACGGGCTGGGACGGAAGACTGAGCCGGAAGACTGGGACGGAAGACTGTGACGTTTGTCACAAGGCGCCACATTTGCCGCAAATCGCACAACTTTGTCAAATATGGTCCGACTGAAAAAACTGACTTATGGTTTTTTTTTTATATGGTCCGCTCAAATATGGTCCGCTTAAAAAACTGACTGAGCCGGAAGACTGGGACGGAAGACTGTGACGTTTGTGACAAGGCGCCACATTTGCCGCAAATCGCACAACTTTGTCAAATATGGTCCGCTAAAGGTGTAATTCGGTAGAAGGATAAATGACAAAACGACGATTACAAATGCACCACTTTTGTCGCAATGCGCCACATTTGTCACAAGGCGCCATTTCCATCAAATACGATTAAGAATAACGGAATGACACGAGTAGGAGCAGGGTTTTCACCCCCTTGGTGAAAGCAGGGTGAAAGCAGGGTTTTCACCCCCCAGGGTTTTCACCCCCTTCCACCTGTGATTTTTTCACCCCCTTTGTGATTTTTGATTATTTCACCCCCTTGGTGAAAGCAGGGTGAAAGCAGGGTTTTCACCCCCCAGGGTTTTCACCCCCTTCCACCTGTGATTTTTGACGGTGATGGGTCAAAAATCACCTTTATTGGGTCATAAAGGTGATTTTTGATTTGATCCACCTGTGATTTTTGACGGAGACACCAGATTGTCTGGCCCCGCCCCTGGGATAGGGTCGGCACTCGGCAGTGGCACGGCACTCGGTCGGCACTCGGCAGTGGCACGGCACTCGGTCGGCACTCGGCAGTTTTCAATGCGCTTACACAAATGCACCGCGTTTGACGCAATGCGCCACGTTTGTCACAAGGCGCCACATTTGCCGCAAATCGCACAACTTTGTCAAATATGGTCCGCTAAAGGTGTAATTCGGTAGAAGGATAAATGACAAAACGACGATTACAAATGCACCACTTTTGTCGCAATGCGCCACATTTGTCACAAGGCGCCATTTCCATCAAATACGATTAAGAATAACGGAATGACACGAGTAGGAGCAGGGTTTTCACCCCCTTGGTGAAAGCAGGGTGAAAGCAGGGTTTTCACCCCCCAGGGTTTTCACCCCCTTCCACCTGTGATTTTTTCACCCCCTTTGTGATTTTTGATTATTTCACCCCCTTGGTGAAAGCAGGGTGAAAGCAGGGTTTTCACCCCCCAGGGTTTTCACCCCCTTCCACCTGTGATTTTTGACGGAGACACCAGATTGTCTGGCCCCGCCCCTGGGATAGGGTCGGCACTCGGCAGTGGCACGGGCTGGGACGGAAGACTGAGCCGGAAGACTGGGACGGAAGACTGTGACGTTTGTCACAAGGCGCCACATTTGCCGCAAATCGCACAACTTTGTCAAATATGGTCCGACTGAAAAAACTGACTTATGGTTTTTTTTATATGGTCCGCTCAAATATGGTCCGCTTAAAAAACTGACTGAGCCGGAAGACTGGGACGGAAGACTGTGACGTTTGTCACAAGGCGCCACATTTGCCGCAAATCGCACAACTTTGTCAAATATGGTCCGCTAAAGGTGTAATTCGGTAGAAGGATAAATGACAAAACGACGATTACAAATGCACCACTTTTGTCGCAATGCGCCACATTTGTCACAAGGCGCCATTTCCATCAAATACGATTAAGAATAACGGAATGACACGAGTAGGAGCAGGGTTTTCACCCCCTTGGTGAAAGCAGGGTGAAAGCAGGGTTTTCACCCCCCAGGGTTTTCACCCCCTTCCACCTGTGATTTTTTCACCCCCTTTGTGATTTTTTATTATTTCACCCCCTTGGTGAAAGCAGGGTGAAAGCAGGGTTTTCACCCCCCAGGGTTTTCACCCCCTTCCACCTGTGATTTTTGACGGTGATGGGTCAAAAATCACCTTTATTGGGTCATAAAGGTGATTTTTGATTTGATCCACCTGTGATTTTTGACGGAGACACCAGATTGTCTGGCCCCGCCCCTGGGATAGGGTCGGCACTCGGCAGTGGCACGGCACTCGGTCGGCACTCGGCAGTGGCACGGCACTCGGTCGGCACTCGGCAGTTTTCAATGCGCTTACACAAATGCACCGCGTTTGACGCAATGCGCCACGTTTGTCACAAGGCGCCACATTTGCCGCAAATCGCACAACTTTGTCAAATATGGTCCGCTAAAGGTGTAATTCGGTAGAAGGATAAATGACAAAACGACGATTACAAATGCACCACTTTTGTCGCAATGCGCCACATTTGTCACAAGGCGCCATTTCCATCAAATACGATTAAGAATAACGGAATGACACGAGTAGGAGCAGGGTTTTCACCCCCTTGGTGAAAGCAGGGTGAAAGCAGGGTTTTCACCCCCCAGGGTTTTCACCCCCTTCCACCTGTGATTTTTTCACCCCCTTTGTGATTTTTGATTATTTCACCCCCTTGGTGAAAGCAGGGTGAAAGCAGGGTTTTCACCCCCCAGGGTTTTCACCCCCTTCCACCTGTGATTTTTGACGGAGACACCAGATTGTCTGGCCCCGCCCCTGGGATAGGGTCGGCACTCGGCAGTGGCACGGGCTGGGACGGAAGACTGAGCCGGATACCGGCTGGGTGCGGTGATAAGAGCGTTCGTTGCTGCGAGCAGTAGGTACACGATGCGCTATTCCTACATGACGGTGGGATATTTTTAACGTTAAGCCATCACTGATCATTTGTTCTACAGAGGCCTGGCCGCTGAGTCGGTATTGCTGCCCCCAGCGCCATCTGTGTGCGGCGCCGTGCAGTACTAGTAGGCGGTGCTGACCGCTGACCAGACATGTGCATGGATCCGAGAAAATGGATCTTGAAGGGATCTGATCTCACGGATCCGGATCCTGGATCCGACGGGGTCATAGATCCAGCTCTGTAATTTATCGAGAGATCCGTAGGGATTATAGATCCGAGCCTTTTTAGATCCAGCGACATCATAGATCCTCACTTATTTTTTGTCAACAGAGAAATAAAAAAAAAAACACTTGTTGCAACTCACAAACGTTCTGTTTTAGTGGTTGTATCACGTATGTGATTGCACGTCATAAGCAATAGTTTGTGGCACTTAACTATTGACATAGAAACACTTGAAAATCTGGTTTCAAATGTTGTGCATGGTAGGATGTGCTCAGATCATGGATCCATGTTCTTAGCTTACTGTCAGCTCCTATGATATCATAGATCCAGGATAAATTTTTCACGCCGGATCCGTCGGGGTCATAGATCCTAACCTGCAGTTTGCTTTGAGATCCACTGAGATCATAGATCTATCACTCAGACCCATGCACATGTCTGCTGCTGACTGCTGACCACTGACTGACCACTGACTGACCCATGACTGACCCCTGACTGACCCCTCACTGACCCCTGACTGACCCCTCACTGACCGCTGACTGGCCGCTGACTGACCACTGACTGACCACTGACTGACCCGATGTCGGCCGGCAGGCTGTTCTGGGCCGAGCGGAAGCTGCAGAAGACGCGCGACTGGTTCAACCGCACGCTGAAGATGGAGCCGGACCTGGGCGACGCGTGGGCGTACTTCCTGAAGTTCGAGCAGCAGCACGGCACGGAGGAGCAGCAGCAGCAGGTGGTGCAGCGGTGTGTGGCCGCCGAGCCGCGCCACGGACCCGAGTGGTGCCGCGTCAGCAAGGACATTCACAACTGGCGGCTCAAGACCGAGCAGATCCTGCGGCTCACCGCCAAACAGCTGGCCGTGCCAGTCTGAGCGCCGGCCGTGTGCGGGCGGCGGACCTGGGCAGGGGCGGCGTGGCAGCCCGCGTACCTGGACAGGGGTGGCGCGGCAGCCCGCGGGCCGTGGACAGGGGCGGCGCGGCAGTCTGCGGACCGTGTGCGGGCGGTGCGGCAGCCGGCGGGCCGTGGACAGGGGCGGCGCGGCAGTCTGCGGACCGTGGACAGGGGCTCTGTGGGCAGTTCACGGAGCCTGTGAGGCAGTCCGGATCCTGTGAGGAAGCCCAGGAGCACACTGAGACAGTTCCTGACTATGTAAGGAAGTTCACGGACCCAGTGAGACCAGAGGTCTGCCGGCAGCCCCGTTCGCCGCGACTTGTGATGCTACTATGGAGTGAGACTACAGATGTTATCGCGCGATGAGTGCGTTTTGTACAGTGTACAGGGCGGCTGTCCTGGGTCAGTGCACAGCGCCGTTGTGTCGGCGCTGGCGGCTGCTGCCGAGGGACCGGTGACCAGCCTCGCCCGCCCGATCTCAGGCCGGTGGGCGCTGACCGGCTCGGTGCGCCAGCCGACGGTCGGAGCTCGGCGGGCCGCCCAACAGGACGACTTTGTATATGTGTTCAGCTGTCAACATACATGTAAACGGATGCATCGGTTTTCTGACTGGAGTGTGATGGTTCGGTGTGATGGTCGTGAACGCAGCGGCCGTTTCAGGCATCCATCAGACCGGGTAATGGGCGTAACCGGAGAAGTGGGTGCCTGCTGGCTCTCCGCCGTGGCAGACGTGGGTGCCTGTTGTTATTGTAAGTGGGCGATTTGGATGCCCCTGAATCGTGACGTGTTAGCAGGGATGGGCTATCCAGCATATAAGGCCGCTTATGGACCAGTCCAGTGGCTACTGCGATATAAGCTCCGCTAGAGCATGACCGCGGCCGGCCAGCCGCTTATCATCGTAATTTTCCGCTAAGCTATAAATGGTAGCTCCGCAAACTCGTAATCATTTACTTTGATCGGTTTATTAGGTGAGATGTAAACCGTTACCCCGATAGCTGAAAAGGTTAGATTGGGAAGAAGTCCTGGCCGCTTCGCTCCTTATTGGTCTAGAAGCTCGCGGAAAAGCGTGTTGGTAGTCACTAGACGCAGCGAGTGATACCAAATTTGTATGTGTCATGTCATCTGATAACCTCTGAGGTCAGGTCAACAACCAATGGTTTTGTTTTTCTCATTTATTTCGGCTGAAAAGTTTGGGGTGCGAAGATGTTTGTATCGTCACGTTCGTCACGTCCATTGTCCAGCCGTGTCGAGTGATACACGTCTTTGCTGCAAACGACGTAATTTGAGTGTTGGCCTAAGGTTAAAGTTAAGTGAAATAATTTGGCATTAGCTACATGATAAAATCCGTGCGTGATTTCTTCATAATATGAAAACAAAAAATAATGCTAAGAAACGGTGAGCGCAGTATGGTACGGATATGTGCCTTGGGGCGCGATACCGCAGTCTACAGAGGGCAAGTTTCTACGCGGGGTCATGGACCTCCGACCGTCACTCCGTGCGGTGCTCCGGAAACCAGTGCATCGCTGCGGACCGGCTCCGCGCCCCGTCCCCACTCCCCGCTCCGACCCCAGCTTCGGCCGGCCCTCAGGCGCAGCGCTCGGTGATCAGGCGCAGCGGACCGCTGTGTGACTCGGTGATCAGGCGCAGTGCTCGGTGACGGCGCTCAGGCGCAGCGGACTGCTGTTTGACTCGGCGCTCAGGCGCAGCGGACCGCTGCCACCTCAGTGTCGTCGCAGTTGTGCTGGCTGAGGTGTGCGCAGGCCATCAGGCTCGGCTCGGCTCCCAGGCAGGCCACGTCGTCCATGGCGTAGAGGGCGCCGGTGCCGGCGAACCCGAACAGGCTGCAGCAGACTGCCGTCCCCACACTGGAACGGCGCCCGCCGGCCGACGTCAGTACGGAGGGACACCGCACCTGACCTGCACGCTGCACTTTTAATCTCTATTGTACGTAATTAAGTTAGTAATTCGTATTCGTTTCGGGCTACACTGAGGTAAAAAATTGTTAAAAACCAATTGGTATAGATTACCAATGGTATAGATTAGCATCCTTATGCGACTGAAAATGAATTCGAGGTCCATTCAACTTTGATAGCATACCTATTGCAGAATTATCTATCATATGCTCGTCACTGGGTGTCTCCGCTGTTAGCCCCAGCTGTGTGTCGCCCGCAGCACCAGACGCCTGTGTGTGGCGCGGTCGGCCAGTGTGTGTACGCGGCAGGCCGGCCGGCAGCTCCCACCTGAAGCCGAGCGAACGGCAGAGCACCGTGGCGTCCTCCGTCTCCCAGAAGTCGTCACAGACGTGGTGCCAGCCGGCGGCGGCGGCGGCGGCGCGCAGCTCCACCCGGCCCTCGGAGCAGACGTCCGGCCCGCCGGCGAGCCGATACGTGGCTGCGGCGGACAGGGGGCGCGCCGCGCCGTCAGCGGCCTGGGAGGGTGTGCGCCGCGCCGGGCGCAGCGCTCACGATACACTGTGGCTGATAGAGACTCGGAGACCCACGGCTCGGTGGCTGCCATACGCTCGTTGCGCTGAGCCGTGGAGGGTGGTATCGGAGACACGGTGCTCTAGTTCAGCACTGATCTGTCCGGATTTTGTGTTTGTTTTGTTGGGTTAGGCCCTTTCGGTCTGACGAGACCATTTCAGAGCCGGAAGGATAATAGGAACTAGGGGGAGACATTGGTCTGGGCATGCACCCTAGTGAGTCACCGGGGCTGAGCCCGTCCCGAAAGACAGGCCGACCAGCCCCAAGGTACTCACTGCACCCGGCTACGGGGTGCGCTCCCTCGGGAGCAGCCCGCATGAGATAAAGTTGCCTGTCCAGCCCGGGGGGTTGCGGCGTGGAGGAGAAGGATTTCAGTATCCTGAGAATAGAAGCACGGAACGGTGGTGATCTGTCCAGAGGCCGGCTCCGGTATATGTGGTGCCCACACACCAATACAGCGGACTGCTTACTGTTGTCGACGGTGACGGACGGGCAGGAGCAGAGGCCCTCCTCACACACGGTCACCGGGTTATGTGAGCTGCAGTCCTCCTGGTACAGGCAGCCGCCTCCGAGAACCACCTCTGAAAAGGTGAAACATGAACTGGTGTCATCGCAATGCATGCACCATTCCTGACATTCCAGTTAAATTCCAGCATAAATTGCCCACTCCCAAGGGCTCGGCTGAATAGGTACGCAAGACGAGAGGAAACCGCTGGGGCGCACCAGCCGGTGGTGGTCGAATCAGCCCGATGTCGCCCCTCATTATCTCTTGTCTTGCAATGGCCCGGAAACGGTCTGATCAAATAGATAGGGCCCGGTTTGGCAAAGCAGTGGCACCATCCTGCCAATGACTGGCCCGGCGGGGCAGCTAGCTGACCCAGCGGGATAGCTAGCTGACCCAACGGGACGGGGCAGCTGACCCAACGGGACGGGGAAGCTAGCTGACCCAACGGGACGGGGCAGCTAGCTGACCCAACGGGACGGGGCAGCTAGCTGACCCAACGGGACGGGGCAGCTAGCTGACCCAACGGGACGGCTAGCTGACTGACCCAACGGGACGGCTAGCTGACCAACGGGGCAGCTAGCTGACCCAACGGGACGGGACGGCTAGCTGACCCAGCGGGGTGGGGCAGCTAGCTGACCCAACGGGACGGGACGGCTAGCTGACCCAACGGGACGGGACAGCTAGCTAACCCAACGGGACGGCTAGCTGACCCAACAGGACGGGGCAGCTAGCTGACCCAACGGGACGGGGCAGCTAACTGACCTAACGGGACGGGGCAGCTAGCTGACCTAACGGGACGGCTAGCTGACCCAACGGAACGGGGCGGTTATCTGACCCAGTGTGGGACCCACCGGGACGGCACTCCTGGTTGCGATAGTTCCAGAAGCCGGCCTGGCACGTACAGCTGGACTCCGGGCCGCAGGTGCTGTTCACGGTGGAGCTCTGTCGACAGACACAGCAGCACAACAATTTGGGTCTTAAACAAAACGTAAACGAATGCCTAGGTCACTGCTATTATGGCCGTATATTATTTATACCGTTATTAAACCGTTATTATGGTGAGCTAGGCTCGAACATAAGCTACGTTGAACAGGGCCTCGGCTAAGGAATTTTGACTGGTGGGCCACTTGGGCAGCGACATGGACTGACCTTCGTATCCATAGCCCCCCCCCCCCCCATTTTCGATTTCTCCCCAGATTTCGGCCACTTTATTCTGCAAAGAACGTCAGGATGGCATTAGAAAAAATGTAAAAAAAACGGGGCTAGACCCCCCCGACTCTTCAGAGAGAGGAGAGAGTAGGGACCCACAAACCTCTCAGTGGTGAAACTCCGGCGGTGCACATAAAATCGCACAAGTATGCACAAAACATTGACGCAGATTATACAACTTTGGACGGTAACTTACGGCTGGTCGGATGTTAAAAATCAGCGAGCCCTGAATGGATCGCTCGCCGACTGGTCGGAGATTCGAAAGCGGTCGGACGGGATCGGGCGTTGTCGGGTGGATCGGGAGGAATTGTGAACAGCACGAGTGCAACCTTATATATAAAGTGGGTTGTGGCAGGAACCCCAAAAGGGGGTTGTAGCAGCAACCCGAACATCTCTGAAAATGATCATTAAGCCTATTGGTGTCGCATGGAAATTTGGAAAATAATTGACTCAAAAGCCCAAGCGCACTGCGCAACCCTAATATTTTCTAAAAACTAAGTGATGTACACTTCTGGTGAACAGTGTCCCAAACTTCAGATTTCTCTTGGGTGTTTGAGTGGAAAATTCTAGCCACCCAAAATGTGAGAGTGAAAAATTATCCATTCTTTTTCTTCGAGTGTCATCTTCAGCCCGAATGAGAAATTTTTGAACGCTGACTGTGAACGGTTCGAAATTCGTCCGACTGGTCAGATGTGCGACTGCAAGCATCATACCGGTCGTGAAGACGCATAATATCGCTTGCAGACTTCAATCGGCTGGAAGTTGCCGACACTACCAGTACCTCTAGTTTGACTCTGGCTTATATCGTGTCTATCGGCGAGCCATCTGAGATCGCTCGCAAGCTTATCCCCGACCGTCTGAACTGGTCTGTTCTTTATTCGTAGTTTTTATTGTAACCGACTGGTCTGCGGCAGATGCTTATGTGACTGCAACCACTCGATCGATCGGAAAGCTTGCAAGAACTCTCGCAGACCTCGATCGGCAGGAAGCCGCCGACACTATCTGTAATTGACAGAGGCAGACGTCTTTCACAATTATTGCATAAAATTCAAAGCCTCGGTCACACTTCACCGGATTGGACCAACGGACGAGAAACGGACGAGAACTGTCAGCGTCCGGTGATGTCCGTTTGTTTCCGTTGGACGTCCGTTTGTCATCCGTTAATATCCGTTCCATGTCCGGTGGTGTCCGGTTGAGCACACCGGACACCACCGGACATGGAACGGATACGGATGAGAAACGGACGTCCAACGGAAACGAACGGACATCCCCCGGGCCCCGGACATCACCGGACGCCATCCGTTTCTCGTCCATTGGTCCAATCCGGTGAAGTGTGACCGAGGCTTAACCTACGGCTGTCTCAAGAAACCGGGAATGGTGATGGTATTAGGCGGGCAACGACGATCAACTTCTTAGTTTTAATAAATGCAACAATGTAGTAGGGCCTCTGTCTCTGTCTGTATCACAATGTTACCTACGTCGTGATGTAAAATGTGAAAACTTAGATTTTTCGGAAAATTACTGGTGGGCCAAATCTTTGAGGCTGGTGGGCCATTTCGGGTCACTGGTGGGGCATTTGGCCCACCAGTTAACATGTTAGCCGAGGCCCTGACGTTGAACTTGCACTACCTACCTACATGTGCGTGCTCATGTAGGGTACACTGAAAATAAATTAACACTCGCGTGCCGGTGACACGAAAATAAGCACCAATGACAGGCGTTTTGGTAGGGTGTAACACAACTCAACTGTGTAACTGTGGGGTGTAACGCCGAAGAATGGTGCAATTAATCGGTGTTCAAAATCAACACCGACAATTAACACCAATGCCACCTCAGACCAACCGACGCTACGGATAAATAACACCACCATTTGGTGTCAACACCCCGTGACAGAGACGTTATATCGCATACGCCACACAATGGTGTAGCTCCCAGTTCATTGATCTCTAAACGGTGTTACTAGCACCGTTACCATGGATCGGATATGGCCTTGGATTCAAGGTCAGCCGGCCGCCGGCCAGCGCGAGCGGCTGCGCGTGCACATGCGTAAATTCAAATGAACGGCGGCGTGTTGATTCGCGCTTCAGTTTGAGTCGAGTGATGCGGGGCTGTGTGGAGACTGGAGGTGGTGTGAGATAAATAAGTGATAAATAAGTGTGATAAATAAGTGTATAAAATAAATAAGTGGTCACGTAGATGCCACGGTTGCCAAAGCGAAACGACACGTGGTCTGCTGATCAGAAGCATGCAGCGATCGCACACTGGGCCGGGGGTCCGGAAAAGTGCTAGAAATTATTTGTGATTGAGTTGTTGATCTCAGTGACAAGCAAACATGCTAAAAACGAAGTGGGGCTGCTTAACCCTCGCCGGACCTATTGTCGGACCCCCCACCCCCTCGGCCGGCCGAGGGGGGAGGGTTGGTACGACCCCTTTTCGCCGTTTCGCCCCTAATGGAGCTAGAGCCTCGCGGAAAAAACAAGCGTGTGCGCCGTTTCAAGGCGGAACGATTGATACCCGATTTTAGGGTCCCAGGTCAACCGGTAACCTCTGAGGTGAAGTCAAAAAGCCCAAGGCAGGGTTTGGTTTTTGGCAAATAATTTCGCAAAAAATGGCCACAGAGCAGCGATTTTGGCACCATCGTGTTCGCCTGGCTCAGGCGCGTCGAATGGTATACTTTTTGTTCGGGTGAGGTCAACTTAAGGTATTGACCTCGAGTCAAGGTCAGTTCAGAGCCCATCAGGCCACGAACTTAATCGAAGAAGGTCGTATCGCATATCATTCGATTCGGGAGGTCTTCCCGAGTCCATTGGTGGCTTTCCCGAGTCGCTGGCTCAATTTGATCATGAGTTATTGACGATAAACTCCTATGGCCGGTGTGACGTCATAAATGACGTCACGGAAGGTAAAAAATGCAAAAGTAAAGCATCGGATCTTGCAAGGAGTGCACGAAATCACGATTCCGTGTGCTTGAGATAGTTTGAAATCATTCCATACGCAAAAACAACAGTTTCCTTATTTTTCCATTCACTTTTAATGGTGAGGTCACGTGACCTCGAAGAGTAGCAGGCATTAGCAAAAATTGCGAGTAGGGCATGACAGAAAGATTATTGGTGGTTTGTATGGCATGACCATTTTTAACGGCTCGAAATAACATTTCTCAAAAAGTCTAACTAAAGAGCAAGTTGTTGTTGATTATCACTGACTTGTGTTTAGGGGTTAATAATGACTGAATTTTTGGGTTTGGCCCAGAAATGTTGACAGCATTGTATGCGTTCATCAATTCTGAGCTCAGGGACATATATTTCATTTAGATTATAAGCGTTTGTTTTTCACAATTTCCAGCGTTTTAAAGAGCGCCGGGCCTTCAGTAGAGCGGCGAGGTGACAATTGCCCCTACATCATGTGGTTTACTGGCGCATATCTCGAAAAGTAGCAGGGAAAAGCAGCAAAGCACCTATATGGAACAAAAGATGAGTAATCAGAGGCTAGTATGAAATGTTCATTTTTAGCTGCTCGAAATAACGTTTTTATAAAAGTCTAATTAAAAAATTGGATGATTTTAAATCCTACGTCTTGCAGCTGCTTGCAAACAGCTAGCTTATCTTGCAGAAAAGCGATGCAATATGTCAGAATGATGTTGGCACAGTGAACAACAGTGCCCTGAACTAGTCTGACAGGAAATTTCTTTCAAAACGACGATTGGTCAACTAATAAATTACCACTAAAGTTCATCATTAAAATCGGTAAATGTGGTGGCCTATAGAGAGTCTAAATTGTCTTGTGTTTGGTGACAACTGACGACCTCAATTTTGACCTTAGGGCAAAACTAGCATCGGAATCGTATTCTTCGATCAATTTGGGATTAAATGATACCTATTTTGTTCATATTGCGGACAGTTTGGGGGAATTTCTAGCGCTTTTTCAGGCTGCCGGCCTACAGTGGATCGGCCGTTCCGCGTCGCGCCAGGGTCAGTTTTAACCCTCTAATGCCCACACATAGTTCCACGGTTCCTAAAATTAGCACCTTGTGACATATGATTCATTTTGGATCCCTTGTTCGAAATCTGGAGTCAAATATTTTTTCGCAGTTCAAATTTCGGAAATAAATTTTGTATCAAATATGATACATTGGGCATTCCACTTGGTAATTTTTAGTGGTATCAGACCAAACAGAAGGAAGTGAAGACATAGATGATAAAATATATATTATTAAAAATTGCAGTGATAAAAGTGGCAGTTAAAATGTGTAAAATGCCAACAAGACATCCTTTACTGTGCACTTTTTATCAGAACATTTTCTTAATATTTCATCGGCATCCTTCTTGTATCAAAATGTCCTTTCAGTCGGTGCTTAGGGAACAACGCTAATCATAGGCATCTATTTACGAGTGCCTTCTATTCCTTCAATTTATTTCCACGATAGAGCGCGTTGCACTTGTGCAATTTTTTCATAATTCAGACATGTGGGCCGTGCTTCTCAAACGTAGATGCGTTATGCATACTTGATATAGAAATGAAGACATTACAGTTGGCTCGTGGTAAGTGGTTGAAGTGAAGCAGTTCTGATGCAAAATGCTGGACAGCCTGCCGACGGACCGGAATCAATGCCAAAGACGATGTTGGTTTATCTTCATGATAGCCGGACAATCTCGGGTGACTGAAACTCTCAGCCTGTGAATCGTCAGTTAGTACTTTGACTGGTCGTGCGGTCCTGATGTCATCGGCGCCAGTAT